GCTCCTTATATACAATTCAATTAATTAGTAATTCTAATTTCCCAAAATTGAGATATTCTCCCAATATTGAGAAGTTATCCCAAAACTGAGACGATATCTCAAAATTGCGACGATATCCCAAAATTGAGAAGATATCTCAAAATTGCGAGGATATCCCAAGACGTTTTTTTCTTAAATAAGTTAAATAAATTACAAATAATTGATAAATAAATACAATAAAAATAAAAATGAAAATAAAAATAAAACGTATTACGAAAGTAGATGTAACACGGATAAAATAATACTAAATTAAAAAAAATTAAGAATTTCGGAATTAGTTAAATTCGACCAAAAGAGCGTCCAAATCTAATTCCGGTAACAATTGCACATATATATATTAATGTGAAAAAAATTTTGATGTGGAAAAAATTAAAAACATTCTTATTTGGGGCATACTGCAACAAAACCAGATAAAGTGAACATTGGTATTACCAAGAATTTCAGGGTTCAAAATTTAGTTATCTTCTTAATATTAAGTGATATATGAATTATCTCTATATAAAAATAGTTAATATGAAGTTATTTTACATTAGGTCTACCATAGAACCCAAAAATTATAGTACAATTAGAGATATTTTGAAGAAAGAACAGGGTGAAAAAATTGCTCCTTGCCCAGACACTGGAAGCTTATCTAAGATAAGAAAGGATTGCCTGTGAAATTTACCAATAAGAAAGAAAAATAATAAATGTTAGAAAAAGAAAGCATCATGAAAGTACATTATTACCCAACAAAAAGCAACACGCTCTCATTGAGCTACATTCCTTTATTAACCTAGCATGATGGAAGTTTGATTTACACATTGAATTGTTTTTTTCAAAATAATCAAATTCCTTTTATTTCCAATTGACAAAATTCTAGAAAATCTGGAAGTATGAAAGTTTATATATATAATCTCCAGAACTTTCATTACACACCGGTATAATTTTTTGTATGATTATTATGTATATTTTTGTGTCAGGCTTATTATTAAAAATTTCCGTGTTAAAATTTCAGACAAAAATTTTGCAAAGTTTAAAAAAAAAGATATGAATTAGCTTTACAGAAAATTGGCAGTAGCATATCATGTCTATTTTATTTATTTAACAAGGTAATTTGATAAACTTTCAAATGAATCTAAATTTATTTAATTATGCTATGTAATTGTTGAGATATGCAATTTTTTGTCACCGCCATTTTTTTCTTAACACACTGTAGATGCTAAAATTCACTATGACTTTATTGGAGTTTTGCAAGAATTAAATAGTAATGTGAGGGATGAATTGCATGGAGAGATCAAAGGAAATTTGCGAATGTTACAAAGAGCTGATAAGAAAGTTGCCAAGGAATTTTCAAAGAATAAAGGATTGCAAGATGCAGTAGAGGAGAAGTCAAAAATGTTGGAAAGGAGTGAAAAAAGAAAAGTGGAATTAAAAAGACAGCTTTATTTAGAAAGGAAGTCTCTACCTACTTTGCCTAAAGAAGAAGATAATAATATTCCAACTAAACAGAGCATATTTAAGCAATTGAAAACAAAAGCAAGATCTAAGGTTCAACAGTTGCTGAAATTAATTAAAAGGGAGAAATTTCACAGTCAAGAACTTATTGCTAAAATAGAAGTTCCACTTAAGTAATTATGAGAGAATTTCTCTATACAATTTTAGAACTGGAAGAATGATGTAGCAGTAATACTACTTGTGATTTTTGCCTCAGCTTAGAAAAAGCAGTTTGTCAAATCAGAATGCAAAGCAAAATGACTGGTGAAAATGATTGAAAGTGATAAGGCTTGTGAAGATTGTAAAGAAAAGTTAAAAATGATGAATTGCCTAAGTGCAGTTGTGGAAGATTAAAGACCAGATACACTTGTGATTGTAAAAAAGAGGGTAATGAAAAAGATCACCCTCTTTTACCTCATCAAAATGGAGGAATGGCACTTTTTTACAAAAGGCAAATAAACTCTTTATGAGAAGAGTTAACCATTACTGAGGAAGCACTTGAAATTGAAAGGGAAGAAGTAGCCAAACTTCAAGAGAAATTCAAGGAATGAAGTAAAAGGCAAAAGCAAGAGTTGTTGGATAAGATAAAGAGTTTAGAAGAAAAAATCAATCATCTAGAAGAAGAAAACAGTAAATTAAAAGATCAACAGAATGGTCAATTAACTGCTCAAATTGAAGTCAAAGAGACTAAAAGATGATCTTGATTGAAAATAAAAAAGTAATTGAGGAAATTTCCCTCTGTATAAATTGAAATTCATTCCAACTATCAAATGGTAGCTATTTTCCTTTTAAAGATTTTTGCTTTTTGTTTGGTAATAGTACACTTTCACTCTGCTTTCTTTTTCTAACATTTACTATTTTTCTTTCTTCTTGGTAAATTTCATAGGTAATCCTTTCTTTTTTTAGATAAGCTTCCAGTGTTTGAGTGTCATTTATTTTAAAAATATAAGGAGCAATTTTTTCACTTTGTTCCTTTTTTAAAATACTTCTGATAGTACTATAATTCTTGGTTTCCATAGTAGATCTAATATAAATTAATTTCATATCAACTATTTTTATATAGGGATAGTTCTATATATCACTTAAGATAACAATAGGATATTAATTATGATCACATTACAAATGACTAAATTTTGATCACGGAAATTCTTGGTTATACCAATGTTCACTTTGTCTGGTTTTGTTGCAAGCATGCCCCATATACAGAAAATTCCTTTCTTTATCATAATACTTTTATCTATTGCAACTTCTGAAAAATTGTATGAAATAAAGATTCTCTCTCCTTGGCACTGTTCTAGAAACATCTACTATTAAAAACCTCTAATAATTTTATAGATGTGATGATTTTTCAAGAAGCCTTGGCAATCAAGTTCATAATTGCAATATTTATCTATTCTTGAAAAAATTATGCAAAATAAATATATTCCACAGATACCTCCTGCAATTAAATTGCTTGACTTGAAAGGTTTTAAAACGTTCAAAATAAAAATAAACTTTATAAACTTTATATATGGGGCATGCTGCAACAAAACCAGACAAAGTGAACATTGGTCTTACAAGGATTTCAGGGATCAAATTTAATCATCATTATTAATTGTATTTACAATTTTTTATTTTAAGCTAACAATCAATTTGTCATTATTATAACAAATAAAGGCACATTTAAAATGAAATTGTTAAAAACAACTAAAAAATTAGATATATATTAATTAACAGATAATCTCAATATCCATAGCCTCATTTTACTAAATATTCAATGTTTAACTACTTAATTATTAAAAATCTAAACTAAGCAAGAAAGATTAACTTTTTATAATAAAAACTTATTATTTAGACAACACAAATTTTCAGATGAAGTAAAAACAATTAAAATCAAAATAATATATATTGAGAAAGAAAAATCCTTTAAACACTTCCATACCACAATGGACACAACCTTTTTCTATCTCTTGTTTTACTGACCAACTTCTCAAATTCTTCAGTGCTTAATGTTTTTTTCTTCAATGTAGGTTTTATTTCCAATTGACTTGGTACACGAAGCTTTTCATAAAAATTATTAAACGATCTTGTAAAGATATCTTTTATTCCTAATAGCAATCCTATATCATCAACGAATGAATAAATATCTTTGAAATCTGCAGGAATCTTGATTTGTCCTAGATGTGACATTGTGTAAGTAGCCCTACCAGCTAAATCCATCACATAAGAATCCACAGTATACTCAATGCATTGAAATCCTAATATTTCAATATCTGCACCTAAAGCTCCGAACGGTTCAGTTCGGTTCGGTTTAATGCCCAATCCGAAACCAAACCGAAATTCTTTGGTTTGAACCAAACTGTTCGGAGCTTTATCTGCACCTTTAGCTATGGATGAGTCCATACAATCCTTCATAAAAGTACCTAACCGGATCAAATCATTTGAATTTTTGAAAACATTATTTCTTTCAGAAGGTGGACTTACTTCTCCAACAAAAATCACTGAATCAATTTGTTGTTGATGTATTAAAGAAACTGTGAAATCAGGCTGCTTTGCTCTACTGGCTAAGTTTCTTATTTTGCTTTTGTGTAATTCAGTATTAGGCCATTGTACTAAGGTCTTGTCTGGAATCATTTTTACCCATTTTGATTGCTTTCCTAAAAATATAAACAGGTTTATCACCCAATACTATTTTTGGAAGCGTTGATGTTTGTTGTAGATGCAGTTCTAGTACTGGTGACAACAAGCATATACTACAAACCCTTCCTCCTATTTAAATGCACTGGAACATACATTAGCGCAACACACAAAAAGGATAGTAAATTGGATATGAGAGTATTGGTTTAATGAAGAGGATTTACAACAGAGTCACCAAAACAAAAAATCTCGAAACAAAGATTTTGGCATCATACCCTATCAACTCTAGGTAAAGAAAAATTTTCTTTTATGATATATATAAATTATATTAGATACATAAATGTATTTATTATTTATATAAATTTCAATACATCAAGGATAACCTAAAAAAAACTGTAATTTCAACAGTTGGAAAATTAGTACCAGGCAGGAATGATTTTTTGCATTTGGAGACTGTGGAGTTAGAATTTACATATCCAGTTATAGAATTGCCATCATCATCATTGTTATCCTCATCACTATCATCAAACAATAACAAAAAAGGAAAAAATATTGACAAGAATCAAGCAACACTAAAAAAACTTGAGGACTCATTTGTTGAATCAAGTGCTATTTCTAAAAAAAAATAAATAAATAAAAGATCCTTGCCATCACCAAGAAATGAAAAAAAACTGTTAAGAAAAGAAAAGCTTTTGAACAAGTTGTTGAAGAAATTGTCAGAAATGAGCAAGAATAAGATAAAGAAGTGGAACTTACCAAGAAATGAACAAGAAAGGTATTTTTATTTATTTTTGTATTTGATACAAAGCACCTTAATCAATTCCTTTTTAGATCAATTATATATTAACATAATATTATAGTGTATTTGTAGTGAATGGTATACCATAACATTGTTGCATGCATGTTATAATAGATAATGAGTGTATAATTAATATTAATAAAGCTTATGTGATTTTATTTCTTTTCATTGTGTTACCCAACGTCAGTGTTGTGCAATTGGAACATTGTAACACTATTGGAATGTTCCAATGTAGACCTTCAATTGATATTGACCAATAAAAATTGTGTGGGTGTCACTGTAATTGAATTTCATTGGTTAACTCCATTGGAACTACATTTGGAACATTCCAATTCCAATTGGAATTTGTTTAAATGTTCCAATGAAATTTTATTGGAACCATAAATGTCACAACACTGCCTAACGTTACATAATAATAATAAGGAAAAGCAACCCGACTAGCATCAAGATGATATAAGACAAATGTTATCACGTTGTAACGTTAGTTATACTAATACATATATGTTATAATAATGAGTGATGGATATACTTTTCCTAATTAATTAATAAATCTTATGTAATGTGATTTTTCATTTAAAAAGTGTTGTTACTTTATATAATAAATGTATATAATTTTTAATAAATTAGGCTTGGTGATACCAGTGACTGTTTTTGAGGATGACTGCTTATTGCAATATCTTGTTGCTATGTTGAATTATTTATTTTGATCATCAAAAATGATAATAAGGAATAGATGTCATTGTAATTGAAAATGGAAAATTTTAATATATCGTGTCATTATTATTATTATTGTATATTATATAGTTTATTTTAATTGTTTAATTTGTATTTTTTTAAAAATAAATTACTTCGGATAATTGTAATTACTTAAATTACTTCAAATACTATTGTTAAGCATTCTTTTTTTTTAAAATAAAGAAAAAATACAATGAGAGAATATTTTTCTCCTGTGTTGATTTTTTGATGAGCAGATAAGTTCTTTACAAAATTAATATTATTATCCTTATTAGGTTGGATTCTTATGCTTTAAGATCCAAGGATGCTTCAAGACTTCTTCCAAAGGTAATCGTTTATCAGGATCTTTTTGAAGAAGCTTTAATTTAATTAAAAATTTTTTTTAATGTGTGTGTATATGTGTGAAGAAATCATATAAAAATATTCAGATAAAGATATAGAAAAGGAATAATTGATTTTTCAAATGATAAAGTGCTTTACCGATCTAATCAAGTGCTTAGCATTTTCTGAAAAGTGTTGAGGCATTTTAAAATCAACTCTTCTGATTCTTTCATACGTAGCAGAACAATCCTTTTCCGCAAATGGTGCAGTGCCAGACAATAATTCATAACACAAGATGCCAAGAGACCATAAATCAATTTTTGAACACTCGATCATTTTTGGTGGATAGTAATATGATGTACCACAAACTGTTGTGCATCTTATTAGATGGTGTAATGGATGTTATAGATATATAATATCATTAGTGAAGATACTATTATAATAATATTTATTATATTATTATTATTTACCTTTGACTAGGAGTATGTACTGACAAACCAAAATTGGCTATTTTAAGTTCATCATTAAAATCCAACAAAAGATTTTCAGGCTTGATATCGTGATGTATAATATGCTTTTGATGAAGATAAACTAAAGCACTTGCCACCTGAGCAATATACTAATAGATATTTTGATTGGTAATTGAATTATAATCATTATTAGGATCTTCCTTAGACACTAACTGATTGATTGAATAAAATTCACAAACCCTTGACGCCTGTTTTTCAGTAAATTTGGTACACTTTTCTAAATGCTTATAAAGTTCACCTTCAGCTGCATATTCAAGAATCAGAAATACATGTGTTTCATCATAGAAATGTCCATATAGACGTAGAATATTTGCGTGTCTATAATAATAATCAACATGTTAAATTAGTATACTTATTATCATCAATAATTAATTATCTGCACGAGTAAGTATTTATTTATTTGTCTAACTTTAGATTACTTTGTATTTCAATCTCTCTTCTTAATAGATTTTCAGTTTTAGCTTTGATAATTTCAGGTATGGACACCACTTTCAATGCAACAATATATCCGCTTGTTTTCTCTCTTGCAAGATAAACACGCCCATATTGTCCTTTACCAAGTCCATATCCAATATCAAAATTATCTAATCTCCAAATCTTATTATTGTCATTGTTGTTGTTGTTGTTGTTGTTAGATTTCAACTGTTGTCTAATAAAAAAATACAAAGTCAAAATTTTAGTATAACTAGAGTGACGACAGGTGGCGGGCGATAACCACCACCACCATCATTAAAAAACACTTACCCTCTTTCATGTGGGTCAATATTTGATTGTTTTCTTTTGTTTCTAGACATTGCAAAAAAAAAAGTAAAATAAGTTTGTTTATTTGATCGACGAGTACACGCTAATTATTTATCCTATTGGTTTTTTTTTTGGTAGGACAGACGCGAATTGATTTTTTTTTTGATTTTTTTTTTTTTGGGAAAAACAATTTATTTTTGACAGAGCCCAAGGTGACAAAACGTGAGTGTTGTTGTTCAGTTCTCCTAAAGAAGAAGTGTTAATAACTAACCAGAGATACTATTTTTTATTTGTATTGATATTTTTATTTTGGTTTATAAACATTTTAATTGGAAATCAAAACGCGGAATAGATCTTGCTGGGTAATTACAAGTTTTTCATTGATATTATTTTACTTTTTGTAATCAATAATATTAATATAAATATTATAATCACAAGATGTCAAGGCAGCACACTATTGAATATGAAACATTTCGATATGCAACATTTGATTACAGGAAATTGGCAGATGTTGAAGCACGCACGCTGCCTTGAGCACTTTACAGTCATTCTCACGTATTCCTCATGTACACAAGGCTAATCTGACTACGGTGCTCCCGATGATACAATGATGCTACCGAATTCCAGGGGGGGGGGGAAAGGCCCTGGAGTTTACCGAGACTGCATCAATCGTCAATGACACTTTCACTAACCTTCCCTCACAGCACCAGACCAGAGAAGGCTGCTGGCATGCTGGCCGAAAAGTTGCCTACTCTAGGGCAAGGATGGCTCTGTGACCAAGCTGTTGCAACTCTGGAGGAATATCAAGAGAATCTGTAACTTGTTCAAGCACAGGAGGTTACAATTCAGAGCAGGGTTGGTGACCCTGAAATTGCATTTGGACTCTGATGTTAAGA